AGGGGAGAGACAATGAGGGGTGGGGAGGGAGTGGAGGGTGGGGAGGGATAACATGGGGAGAAATGCCTGATATAGTATGCACCTAAAGTAAAATACATAAATTTTAAAAAAGACTAAACTACACACTACCTATTCCTATGAAAAGCTCACTTTACCTGTAAAGACACCAATGACTGAAAGTGAAGGGTTAAAAAAAAGATATTTCTGGCAAACAGAAATCAAAACGATCAGTAGTTATATAGCTATACTTACAACTGATAAAATAGACTTTTTTTTTTTGAGACGGAGTTTTGCTCTTGTTACTCAGGCTGGAGTGCAATGGCTTGATCTTGGCTCACTGCTCCCTCCACCTCCTGGATTCAGGCAATTCTCCTGCCTCAACCTCCTGAGTAGCTGGGACTACAGGCATGCATCACCATGCCCAGCTAATTTTTTGTATTTTTAATAGAGACGGGGTTTCACCATGTTGACCAGGATGGTCTTGATCTCTTGACCTCGTGATCCACCCGCCTCAGCCTCCCAAAGTGCTGGGATTACAGGCATGAGCCACCCCGATAAATAGACTTTAAGTAAAACACTGTAAGAGAGACCAAGAGGTTTACCATATAATGATACAGGGATCAAATCAGCAAGAGAACATATAAATACTAAAAAACAGAGCACTCTGACATGTAAGGCAAAAATTATTAGCTCTAAAGAAAGAGAAAGACTTGAAAACAATAATAGATGGGTCTTTAAAACCCTACTCATAGCATCAGAAAGATTATGTAGAGAGAAAATGAACAAGAAACACTGGATTTAAACTGCATTATAGACCAAATCAGTATAGCAGACATTTACAGAACATTTCATTCAAGAGCAGCTAAATACACATTTCTCTCATCAGCACATAGATCATATTCTAGGATAGAGCTTGTTTTATGGTAGGCCACAAAACAAGCCTTGAAAATTTTTTAAACATTAAAATTATATAAAATATCTTTTCTGACCACAATGGAATAAAACTGAAAATCGGTAACAGGAGGGAACACTGGAAACTGTTCAACAACATGGAAATTAATCATGTTCCTCAACCACTGATAGATCAAGAAAAAAATTGAAAGGATAATTCTTTTATTTTGAAACAAAAATAGAAATGCAACATATCAAAACCTATATGTGATATAGCAAAAGTTGTACCAAGAGGGAAATTTATAGTAATAAATTTTTACGTAAAACCCAAAAAGTAGAAAGGGGGCTGAGTATGGTGACTCATGCCTGTAATCCCAGCACTTTGGCAGGCTGAGGTATGCAGATCACTTGAGATAAGGAGTTTGAGACCAGCCTGGCCAACATGGCGAATCCCATCGCTACTAAAATCACAAAAATCAGTCAGGTGTGGTGGCAAATGCCTGTAATAACAGCTACTTGGGAGGCTGGCACAGGAGAATTGCTTGAATCCAGGAGGTGGAGGTTGCAGTGAGCTGAAATTGCACCACTGCAAACCAGCCTGGGCAACAGAGTGAAACTCCATCTCAAAAGTTAAAAAAAACAGCTTGATTATCCACTTCAAGGAACTAAAAAAGCAAGAACAAACCAAATCCAAAATTAGTACAAGAAATAAAAATCAGAACTAAAATAAGTGAAATGACACCAAAAATAATATAAAAGATAAAAACAAAATGTTGTTTCTTAAATAAGAAAAAACTAACAAACCATTAGATAGACTAAGAAAATAAGGAGATAAAATACAAATACATTAAATCAGCAAGAAAAAATGAGACACAACTGAGACCGCAAAAAGTCAAAGGATTATTACAGACTATTATGGACAACTATACTCCAACAAATTGGAAAACCTAGAGGAAATGGATAAATTCCTGGACACATAAACCTATTGAGATTGAGACTGAAAGATGTAGAGTCTGAATAGAACAATAGCAGTAATATAAAGTCTCCTAAGGAAAAAATATTTTTGAAAGGGAAGGAATTCTTCTGAACTCATTTTATGAGACTAGCATTACCCTAGTACCAAAAGTAAAGAACACACAAAAAAAAAGAAAGAAAAGAAAACTACAGGCTAGCATCCCTGATGAACACAGATGCAAAAATTCTCAACAAAATACTAGCAAACCAAATGTAACAGCACATCAAAAAAAAATATATACACTATGATCAAACGTGATTTATCCCAGGAATGCAATGAGATTTCAACAACCAGAAATCAGCACACATGATACATCACATTAACAGGAAGACCAAAACCATTTGATCATCTCAATAGCCATTTGTTTCATGATAAAAAAAACTCTCAACAAAGTAGGTATAGAAGGAATGTACGTAAATACAATAAAGACCATATATGACAATTCCCCATTCAACATCATACTGACTGAGGATGAGTTAAAACCTTTCCCTCTAAGAACCAGAAAAAATAAGGATGTTTATCTTTACCACTCTTATTTAACATAGTACTGGAAGTCCTGCAAAGAGCAATTAGTCAAGTGAAATAAATAAAAGGCATCCAAATTGAATGGAAAGAGGGATTCAAATTATCTGTTTGCAGATGATGTAATCTTATATTTAGGAAAGCTAAAGACTCCACAATAGAACTCCTAGAACCAATCAACAAATTTAGTGAAGTTGCAGAATATGATATTAACAAACAAACACTATTAGTAGCATTTCTGTAGACTAACAGCTATGTGAAAAGAAATCAAAGCATAAATCCCATTTACAATCGCTATCTGGAATCAACCCAAATGCCCATTGATGATAGAATGGACAGGGAAAATGTGGCACATATACACCATGGAATATTATGCAGCAATCAAAAATGACGATTTCGTTTCCTTTGTAGGGACATGGATGAACCTGGAGAACATCATTCTCAGCAAACTGACACAAGAACAGAAAATGAAATACCACATGTTCTCACTCATAGACCGGTGTTGAACAATGAGAACACATGGACACAGGGAGGGGAGCACTACACACTGGGGTCTGTTGGGGGGAATAGGGGAGGGGCAGTAGGGGGTGGGGAGTTGGGGAGAGATAGCATGGGGAGAAATGCCAGATATAGGTGAAGGGGAAGAAGGCAGCAAATCACATTGCCACGTGTGTACCTATGCAACTATCTTGCATGTTCTTCACATGTACCTCAAAACCTAAAATGCAATTAAAAAATAATAAATTTCCCATGATGAAGGGAGGTTATACATATTTTTATATATATAAAAAAAAAGACAAAGGAGAGAAAATGTTCCTCATTCTAAAGAGGCACAAACATGCATAAAGGAAAGCAAATCTTCTTTTTTTTTTTTGAGACGGAGTTTTACTCTGTCGCCAGGCTGGAGTGCAGTGGTGCAGTGGTGCAATCTCGGCTCACTGCAACCTCTGCCTGGGTTGAAGCAATTCTTCCGCCTCAGGACCCAAGTAGCTGGGACCACAGGCGTGTGCCACCACACCTCCCTAATTTTTGTATTTTTAGTAGAGATGGGGTTTCACCATGGCCAGGATGGTATCGATCTCTTGACCTCATGGTCTGCCCACCTTGGCTTCCCAAAGTGCTGGGATTACAGGCGTGAGCCACCACGCCAGGCCGCAAATCTTCTTATTCAAATCCTACCAGTGCTTCAGGATTCAGCTTCAATCCTATTTCCTACAATAAAAAAACAACAACAACAAACTCCTCCAATTAAACGATAGTGACCACTCTTTTCTCTGACCACCCACAACCCTACTGTTTGCCTTTGTGTTTTTGTTTGTTTGAGACAGAGTTTCACTCTTGCCATCCAGGCTGGAGTGCAATGGTGTGATCTCAGCTTACTGCAACCTCTGCCTCCCAGGTTCAAGCAATTCTCCTGCCTCAGTCTCTCAAGTAGCTGGGATTACAGGTGCCTGCCACCATGCCTGCCTAATTTTCAGTAGAGATGAGGTTTCACCATGTTGGTCAGGCCAGTCTAGAACTCCTAACCTCAGGTGATCCACCCACCTTGGTTTCCCAAAGTGCTGGGGTTCCAGGCGTGAGCCACCTTGCCCAGCCTGCCTTTGTTTTAACCCCCAGGTATTTTTCCTGCTGTTTCCTGTCTCATCTGTGCTGGTCCTGACTTCTTAGTAAAACTAAAAGCTGCATTTTTACTGTCGTCTTCTTCATTAGTATCCCCTAGAGCCTTCTATAAAATGCATCATTTTTTCAAATCTATAGAACTAAATTAAACTGAAAGGCAAAAAAGAATCAGACACAAGGCTGGAATTTTCATTGGCAGGAGAAACAGGAGCGGGTTCCACTGATATGGCTGTCACCCTTCTCTCCATATCTAAGTGACATCCAGGGAAGAGCAGTTTTCCTTCTCAAATCCTTCAGTTATTGAAAGCTCACTCTGTGCCAGGCGTTACACTGATCATTACGTTGTGTGATGACCAGTAGCTTTATCTCCTACAGCAGATCAGCGCATTTGCAAGTGCCATTTTTTCAAGCACTCCCAAATATGTGAGTCACAAAGTTTAATTCTTTTCATACCATTTGGACAGAAAAATAAAACCTATGGAAAGTCCTCTCTATGACTTGCAAATGGTCAAAACCCAAAACAAGGTACTTGCAGCTGGTGCTTTCCAAAAAAGAAGGGAAAAACAAAACCAAATCCTGCCTCCAGACACGAACAGACCATTCCTTCAAGCCCAAGCCCTTTCAGATACAAGTCCTGCCAGAGAGGGCCTCAGAGAGAGAGGAGGGGACAGAGACCAGACCCAGGCCGCCCCAGCCAAACCTGGCTCGATCTTATTCACCCAGAAGAGGAAGCTGCCCTCAGGGAAATGAAAAGATTACATTCAGCACCATTTACTACAAAAAAACCAAAAACCACCCAAACAAAAAACCCCAGCCCAAAGCAGAGCCAATGAGAATGCAACAACACAGATGCAAAATCATTTATTGTAAATGTTTTAAAATCATTCTCCATTAAAATTTTTCATTATTTTATAAAAAATACAAACACACTAAAGTTCACATTTGACATGTAAAAAATAAAGAGGAAGAAGAGAAATCAACTAGTTTCACTAGTTTAAGGAACAATCCCTAAAATGAGACAATGATCTACAGTACATGGATCTTCTAGTTAAATAAGAAAGAGAGTCCTGGGCCATAAAGACTCAAGTCAAATCTAGTCAGAGGCAGATACTCTAGCATGTGCCCCTCACACTGACTAACCCAGAGCTGAATTAACTGAGAGACTAGGGCTAGAGATCTGTCAAGATACAGCACAAAACTCTTTCTCCTGGTAAATTTCTTTTCCCAACAAAACAAATACTCGGTTCCCTCAAGACAGGCAATTCTGTATCTGTAAACAACCAACACAGTCCCTAATATTCCTCCTACCCCCCAAATAGCTGGCAAAACTCTCCAACAATTTATTTTCAGGAGAGTGGTTCTTCTTGTATCACCACCATCTGCAACAGGATACGCAATCATTGTCTGAAGACACTGAGTCCTACAGGAAGGTTTGTAACACTGGGCAACAAGAAGCCAATGCATAATATCCATAGTAGATGTTCCACAGCCTTAATGATTCCCTAATGTAAGTTTATAAAAAATGCAAATGGAATGACTATCCAAAGTGAGAGCAGGATGCTGAAAACTCACAGGGACTCATGTTTCCAAAAAGGGTGTTCGGGAATCACAGGAACAATGAGGAGTTGCAAACCAATGAAGAAACACATGCTCCCATCTGTAGCTATATATATAGATCCCCAGGTAACCCTGGTGGTGCGCCTAAGGCTGGTTGGCTAAGACACTCAGGTGCAGGTCATGGAAGCAGACACAGAGCCACACCACTGAGGTCTTCTAAAGTGCCTTCCTTTTCTTCACACCCTGGCTTAGAGGTAGATCAAATACAACAGTGGAGGGAAAAAGGGTGATTTCAGTGAATGATTGGCTTAGTCATCCTAACCTGGCTGCCTGCCTCTCCCTGCTCTAGCAGCTCATGCTTATGTGATCCCACCTAAAAGAAGGCAGTGCACCTCTGTGCTAAAGATAAAGGAACGCAGGTTGGTGGCGTGCTTCAAGAATAGCAGTGAGCCATGACAGCACCACCGCACTCCAGCCTAAAGGATAGAACAACACCGTGTCTCTATCACCTCTACCCTAGCTGGCTTCCTGCTTTTGTCAAGAGTGGACCCAGCTGAAGCAGTGCTCAGGAGCTGTTTTACTGGGCTTGGAGCCAGAGTGCAGAATCAGGAGAGAAAGGAGTCTCCACCTCCCTGGTTGTTCCTGGTGCTTCTGAATTAATTCACAGAATCTTTTCTGTAAAACAGAGTGAATTCCCTTCATCTCTAGGACTCGGTGGGGCACTGCTTTCAGACGCAGTCCGACTTCCATCACTTCATTCTAAAAAGATAACACAGATGAACAAAAGTTACTGATTTTTAAAACCATTATAAAACGCTTATGTTTTTATTTCATTTCACTGGATTTGAGTATAACATCTTGGATGAAATTGCAACGTTTATAAATTACTAACAGAGGAAGTTTACTGTTCAGTCCACATACACACATACCCCTCTGAATACATTTCAAAAGGCAAATCACATTTCTTGTTTGTTGCTTATTTCTCTGGGTAGGATGCACGAGAAATACAATTTTGATGATGTGCTTTTTGGGTGCTGAAGACATTTTAACATCCAGGCTATTTTCATAATCTAACCATAAACTCTAAAGTTTCAGCTTTTAAAATGTGTTTAATATACTGTGAGAAATCCTGATAAGAGAAACACTGTGATCCCTCGGGCGAGGATGCAGGTACAGGCAGATGCAAGTCCCTCAGCAGACACACACCGAGGGAGCCTGCCAGGGGCTACACAGCAGGAGTCCAGCCTACCCTCTGTGTCCAAAATAACCCATGATGCTGACCTATTCTGTGACATTTGTAAAACAGACTTCCCCATCTTAGCCTGGGGCCCCACTCATCTAGAAGGTGAAGAAGATCAAAGATAGGGAAGAGTGAGGGACAGTGGACTTGAAAATTTGTATCATTATATTTCAAGGAAGGTTTCTATTTTTATAAGGCATCAAAATATGCACGCAGTCAGATCAAAATAATCACCATAGTTCCAAATTAGAGAATGAGAAGGATACACACACAAAACCCCTCAGGAATACAAATTACAATGTGATTTCAGATTCAGCTTCTAAAGTGCACGTATATAAACCCCAAATAGAATGGACCATAGGCTGGCTCGAGGGAAATACTCAGAATCCCTGAAATTGTCTATATAATTTCGTATTGTGGGGAGAGGTATGCATATTTTTTTTTCCTGGGGAGAGGCACACAGCTCTCTTCTAATTCTCTAAGGGGCACACAAACCAAACAATTTTAAGAATCTTTGTTCTTTGAAGACTAAGAACATTACATTGTGAGACACTAGTTGCCCAGCTAATCACAGGATGGTGGGGGAATCCCCCAAGCACACAGCTCATGTGCACGTGGAAACTGGCGTAAGAATTCACTTGGTCCCTCTTGGTCCCTCCCAGGGCCCTGGGCCTCTCCCTGACACATCTTCCCTCTCTCGAGTTTGCCTCTGACCTCATCCCCCTTCTGGCTGCCTGACTGTGATGAGTCTCTCTTCTCCTTTCCTCACTTCCCAATTCTTCTCCCTGCACCCTTCCTTTGAGAGGGCAGTGACACTCACATTTTAAAATCATAAAATCGCTTAAATATTGCACATTTATGCTCTGGAAAGTGGAACATGGAGTCGCAGAAAACCCCACATTTTCTGAGCAGGTCCACTCAGATGAAACGTCTGAGAGAAAGAGTGCAATTTCCAAAAGAGCAGAGACTTTGCTCCCCCACAGCTGCCTTCCCAGCACTGAGCCCTGGGGAAACACCTGAGTCTCCCTGGCAAGCTCAGGGTCTTCTCGGAGCTCTGCTCAGGCCTCACAGCAGCCTACCCTGTGCAGCCTATCTTGTGCTGTACGAACCTCACAGCCTCGGAATCCTCTTGAACCTTTCCTCAGACCTCTGCCCACCTCCCTGGCCTCTATTTGGAAAGGGCCAATAACAATTTTGGAAAGGAGCCTAAGAAAATCAAGACCAAGCACACCACAGCAGCAGCCCTCACAGGCATCACAGGCCTCTTTACACAGGTGGAGACTGAAGATTTGTTGTGGGTGGGGGTTGTTGCTGTTTTCTTTTGAGACAGAGTTTCGTTCATGTGGCCCAGGCCGGAATGCAGTAACGGGATCTCAGGTCACTACAAGCTCCACCTCCAAGGTTCAAGCAATTATCGGGCCTCAGCCTCCTGAGTAGCTGGGATTACAAGTGCCTGCCACCTCGCCTGGCTAATTTTCATATTTTTAGTGGAGATGGGGTTTTGCCATGTTGGCCAGGCTCGTGTTGAACTCCTGACCTCAGGTGATCCACCTGCCTTGGCCTCCCAAAGTGCTGAGATTACAGGCGTGAGGCACCAGCCTGATCTTTTTTTTTTTTTTTAATTCCTGTAATTGGGGCACAACCTCTTCACTCCAGACATGTATATTGTCTGCCTGCCCCAGAGACACATTTTATTGAGGATGCTCTGTGAGGAAGCTTTCCATGTATGAGACTCTTCCAGTGAGCTAAAATTTGGCCTTCTGAATTGCATTCTTAAGTACTGCTTTACATAACTTTCTGCCTTCTTAGGCCAACATTACTCTTGCCTCTCATCCTCCAGAGATAGTGTCATCATATTAAACACCTTGCCTTGTACTATGCGTTAACACGTGTGCTTTTAAGCCTCTGTTTCATGCTTTTGATTCTAGACCGTTACTGCACCTGCTGCCAACCACAGCTACTTCTAATTTGCCTTTCTCACCCATTCAACTAGTATTTTCTGAGTACCTACAGATGTGGAGAAAGTGATTCGGATGGACTGTGGATGAGAACATAAAATATCCAATATCGCCGGCATTATAAACGAGAGTAAGCAAGCCTCCAAGCGAGGTATCAGAAAGTGAGGTCCCCAGCAATGGCCAGAGCTTCACTACAGAGCAATGAAAGGACGTTTGGAGCCTTGAAGCCATTTGGCCTTCCGACCTTCCTTTCTGCCAGGTTTTGTTCTGAGTGTTAAAAGTTCTCAGAGTCTCACAAATGGGGTGTTTATTACATTTATGAAACAGCGTATCTATTTCCTTGTTCTGTTCTTTGTTTTATAAGTTGACGAGTAAATTTGTCATAATTTTCTAAGGAAAGGAATAATCTTGTCTTTGTATACCCCTCAATTAATTTCTTAATGGTCTCGGTGGCCTTCAACAGAAAAAGAAATAGGTTCCCCATACTGAGATACCCCTTCAGCAATTTAGCTGTATCCTTCATTTCAAATTCTTCAATTCTTACTTGTCTTGTGAAACCAGTGTCTCCATGAAGGTTGCTAATCATGTTGTGAAGTAGGATGCAGGGCTTAGAATGTGGGCGAACTGCATGAGGAAACATGCAGCAATGTTCATCTTTATACTTAAATTATCTTTTTCTTGAGTTTTCCCCAACTACACTGTCTAATTCTGGAGGGCATGGAATGTGTAGGCTCCACACAGAGTGGAACATCACCTCACAGCAACACTGTCACTCTCTGCCTGAGTTATGGGGCAGAAAGAGTTACAGGGCTGAGTGGATGAGTACATAAATGAATAGTCTGACACAGTACCAAGTCCCCAATGTTGCCAAATCAACCACATCAATCTGACCCCGATCTGGTTCCCCTGTTTATTGTCGCAGCGCTGACTCCTTTACTTACCATCGAGCAAGAGGGATGCTGGATCAAGCCCCAGATTCTCACAACCAGGTATGTTCTGATCATGGAAATCATGTAGCAAAATGCCCAGCACCAACTCCTCACTCATCACATACTTCATAAAATTTTCATCATCTGATGGAACCCCATATTGCAGATGGTGGGTTACTGTGGCATTTTTGCCACTGAAAGGCAAACCAGAGACATTAAAACATAAATAGCATCACACAGCAACTCAAAAAATGAGTTTAAGCAATAACTTTTTTTTTTTTTTTTTAAGTTTTGCATGTTCTTCCAGTACCAAATAGCAAAGGCTGTTCTGTTGTGTACTGGAAGAACATAGGTTCATCACAAAAATTTGAGGTGATCCTAAATCCTTCCTCCACCTAGTACCCACGCTCTAGGAATCCACTGGCAGAGGCCATCAAAGGGAAAGTTGAAGCCCATCTAAGGTCAAGATGCCTTAGACAATCCCAGGCTTGACCCAGCATCGGTCCCAATCCCAGCCTCCATCCCTTAAGGCAAGCCAGGGAAGCCTCCTCCTTTCTCCACACACACTCCTTCTCCATGTTCTCAGCATTGCCCCCACAAAGGTGTGTCAGGGATATTTAATTTAAGCAGTTCATTATTTGACCTATGAAGATGTTTAAGGCAAAGCCCAAGTTTCCTGTCATTGGCTGGATCCAGAACTTCTGAACATTGACAGAGACCACCCTGTGTATCAGCAACAAATCATACTTCCCTGCTTTGTCCCAAAGTGAGAAACTTTTCTGTCCCATTACCAGAGGCCCCTAGGGCAAGAGAACCAAGCCCTGTAACTCTCAGTAATGGGACCTGAAGAAAGGGGAGTTTCATCTTCCTAGAACATTTTTTCCCATTTCTAAAATTAAAATAATCAAGGGCTACCCTCCATTAATAAGTGTCCAATGCTACCCTTTAAATGCTGCTTCAACATTTAGTTCATTCATAGTTATCTTATCACTTTGGTTCAAGATGGGCCAGATTAAGAACCAGCAATAAAATAATTAGCAGGACGCCACATTCCAGACTATGACCTTGGGGAAGTTTTGCAGACACACCAGTCCCATTAGTGTGAATCAGGCCATGGCCGCGCTAGGATAGGCAAAGCGCTCCCTCTTCTGCCACAGGTGACATAGGCCGGATTGTTTATAACGGAGATGTGCCAGATCCTGCAGATCGAATGAGTAATGAAGAGTGAAGACTCTGAAGAAACTCACTGTTTCAAGGATGCCACTACAGGGAGGTGGAAAATGCACTTTCAAACTGCAGTCCAGCTACCCGAGTTTGCAGGTGTCTTAACTTGTTCCCTGAGCTCTGCCCCCTAATTATCTCTAATGATGATTAACACCTAGACAGCCAGCCACCCTCATTCCCAGGGGCAAGGGCTTCGGCTGGCTAATAAAGACGGCCAGAGGCTGACTTTCAGAAGACCAGGTCACAGGCTGAATGGGAAAATCAGGCCACCTAGCCTGACCTGGCTAGCTCATTAGGATAATCCCCCATGGCAGGTCACAGGGTAAATTTACATAAGGCTGAATTTTGAGAAAAGAGAATTTTCAGGGCCTTTCCCTCAGCTGCCCACCACTGGAATGAGTCTAGCTGCCAATAAACCAAAGGGCATTTTTCCATGTTCCTTTTGGGCCAGTCTATGGCTGAGGTCACAATGCCCCTGTAGACACAAATGCATGTGTTGGGGATTTAGCCACCTCCCACCCATGTGCAGCAGTGCCTTTGGGAAGCAATGGCTTTCCTTCCTCAATTCAGTACTTTAGAACCTCTGCCTGGACTTCTTGAAATAAAATGCAGAGATGTCATCATAAGTACCATGTACACTGCAGGTCTTTTTTTTTAGAAGGAGTCTCACTCTGTCACCAGGCGGGAGTGCAGTGGCACAACCTGGACTCATTGCAACCTTCACCGCCCGGGTTCAAGAGATTCTCCTGCTTCAGCCTCCTGAGTAGCTGGGATTACAGGCATGTGCCACCACACCCAACTAAATTTTGTAGTTTTAGTAGAGACAGGGTTCCACCATATTGGCCAGGATGGCCTCGATCTCCTGATCTTGTGATCTGCCCACCTCGGCCTCCCAAAGTGCTGGGATTACAGACCTGAACCACAGCACCCAGCCCACTGGGGGTCTTTGAAGAAGGAGATCAAAGCAGCCTGCACGGTATGTATCTTTAGACTTCAGGTCTGTTTGGCCCCATACCATGGTGCCACCGGCCACCATGGAGGAATGTAAATTCCTCCCTTCCCAGGTCTGCTAATATTATTAGCATTTGGAGCACTTAAGGTTGGAAAAAGGAATGTCAATATCATATAACTTTTGATGATCATATTCCAGAGCCATCTCAGGAATAATGGAACAAAGCTTTGATATAAAATTTAAGTCATCTCCAATAGTCCCAACGGTGTAAAGGATAATAAACCAGCTCCCCACACATACACTCTGATGCCTACATCTAAAGAACATTAAAGATGAGAGGAAATTTTTAAAAATAAAAAATGCATATGGGTGTGTGGCATCTGTAGTGCCTATAGTAGATACACAAACAGAAGCAATCACACTCAACCCTCGACAGCTGTTAACTCCATGGAAGGGAATAGTATCGGTTATCGGTGGTGGCCGTGGAGAATAAAGCAGGCAGAAGGTAGACGTTTCCTGTACATACCTCTTTATGTCTTCTCATCTTTGTTTTTTTTTTTTTTTTTTTTTTTTTATGACAGAGTCTCGTTCTGTCACTCAGACTGGAGTGCAGTGGCACAATCTCAACTCATTGTAACCTCCCCTCCCGAGTTCAAGAGATTCTCCTGCCTTTGCCCCCCAAGTCACTGGGATTATAGGCACCGGCCACCATGCCTGGCTTATTTTTGTATTTTTAGTAGAGACAGGGTTTCACCATGTTGGCCAGGCTGGTCTCAAACTCCTGAACTCAAGTGATCCACCCGCCTTGGCCTGGGATTACAGGCATGAGCCACCACACCTGGCTCCTCTTTATGTCTTTAATACTAAAGGAGTAATACAGGAGAATGTACTCCCGTATTGCTTGTGCTCCTCAAAAGCAAATGCCTATACATAGATTATATCATTTACATCACAGCATTACCTGAGACCGATTTCTACTTCTACCCATAGCTTATTTGAGCAGTCAATGTGAAACAGAAATAATTTATTTGGGACTGGGTGACCCTGGTTGAATCATACCATTAATCTGGGCTTCCTTTTTCTCATATGTAAAATAAGGGAGTTTAGCCCGTTGGTGTAAAAGACCTTCCCAGCACTGATGCTCTATGATTCTATTACTGGTTCCCTTCATGCTCTGAGGCTCTGGGAAGCCCTTCTAGGTAAATGATGAAGGGTGGGGTGGGGGGACCTCTTTCCAAAGGAAGAGATCAAAATGTAATGTTCCACACTCTTACCTGAAGTCCACTATTTCAACTGAAGTGAAATAACGACTCAGAGAGGGCGATGTACCATACACATCTGTGAGCTAAAACCAACAGACGCAAATAAAACCACACACATTACGGACAGATCACATTACACATCACCTGACAAAGCAAAACTACTTTAAGACAAAGAAGATTCCACTCTAGCCAGGAATCAACTCATCTGGAGGTTCTGGATCTAGACCTAGGAACGTTTGAGCCTATCGTAAACCAAAACTCAAGTTAACACTATTTCAAAATAACTGCATTTATAAGGACCACATGACTCAGCTTCTCTCAGAAGTTACACTGGCACCTCATGGTCTTAGTGGTGAGAAGGTCAGCAGCTGGAGCCCACACAGACCTCGCAGACCGTAGAAGGAGAGAAGACCCAGAAGCAGCTGCTGGACAGAGGCAGCACAGACCACTCAGCACCTGGGACATTGCTTAGCCCGGGGTTTCTTTCTTCCTTCTCCAGAGCTTCATTGCAAAGACAAACAGCCATGCTAAGCCATGGTCTAGCAAAAATACGGAGGCCTTATTTAATGCATGAAACATTGCAAGCATCATAAGAAAAATAATGACACCTGTGTTTCCACTACCTAGCTTTCATGTCTTCACATTTTGCTATATTGGGTTCAGCCCTTTAATTGAAAAAATAAAATAAAGCTAAAGTGACTCCTACATACTATTCAGTTCCTCCTCTCTCTCTTCCTTAGTACTAACCATCACCCTGAAAGTGGCATGCATCTTTCCTTGCAAATTACTACTTCCTTATGTATTTTTACAAATTACTACTTTCTTATATAATCATAACAAACTATCTATAATTTGTGTTTGTATTCAAACAAAAGGCACCATATTCTACATAATCTTCTAAAACTTGCTTTTTTTCCACTCAGAGTTATATTTAAGATTTACCCATGAAGTAAATCCCAATAAAGTGCATTCACCTAACTTCTGCATAGATTCCTTTAAATGATGATGCCAGCTTATCCATTCCTCTGTGGGTGATCACATGCACTATTTCCAACTTTCCCCTATTAACACCCTAAGCTAAAGCAATCATCCTTGATGTCTCTGTGCATCTCTTCTTGGACATGTAGGAGTTCCCACTGGGCATACACCAAGAAAAGGAATTGCTGGGTCCAAGGGTAGGTGCATCTCCAACTCCACAAAAATTGCTCTCCCTTTCCCATTCCTCCCAGGAATGTATACATATCCACGCCCCACATCCTTACCAGCACTTAGTGTTACCAAACTTAAATTTCTGCCACTCTGATGGGTATGAAATAGTGCTTCATAATGTTTTAATTTGTACCGCCTTGCTTACTAGCGAGGGGAACATCTTTTCCTGGGTTTATTAACTCTTTGGGACCTCCCATCTCTGAATTTCTCACTCATTTCCTGTCCTTCTCTTGGCTTCTCTGTCTTTTTCTTATTTATCTAAAGTGGTTAGTTTTATATTCTGGATTCTAGTTGTTGATATTATGTTACAAATATCTTTCCCCAGGCATTGAGTAGTTGTGTTTCAGAGATCTGAATCCTAAACTAACAGTACTCAGGAGCATGTGCCATCCCCAGCTACAGTCATTATGGCTTAATGACCTATTACTTCATTCAATAACAAGCGGTAGAACATACAGAAAACAGCAGTGTCCTATGGAGCTCACCTTGTCTCCCCTCAACTCTAAATGGAATATCAAGGACACTGCACTTCCACAATGCGTTCCCATTGAATGCAACATGTACAACCCATCTCTCAAAGAGAGAACAACAGATGAGAGTACCTGCTATTTGTGCTCTTCTAATCTTGTCATTATTATTGTGATCTTTATAAAAACCTGGCATAACAGGGATTAACATATCTCCCCTTTTCACTGGAAGATAAAACAGCACTCCATTCTGTGAGATTAAGAAACCTGCCCCAGATCACTCTGCTCATAGAGAAGCCAAAGTTCAATCCTAAGTGTTATGGACACTAAAGACTAGCTTCTTCCCATCTTACCACAGACCCAGTGAGGATGCAATGGATACATATACAGTGAAGAAAAGTGTCTCCTGAATGTCAAGGAGGGAAGAAGCATAAAGGGACAAAAACGTTCGGAGAAAATGACTGGGTCATTTCACAGCTCTGAAACCCCAGTGCACAGGACGTTGCTGATAGGTTGACAGTTATTTAGAAAACTCAGGAACTAGGAAAGCAGCTTTCACAGGGATGCTGTGATGGGGAGAGGATGAGGATGCTGCAGAGGAGAATCTCTTCAAGCACTAATGTCAAGCACTCATGTCTCTCTCTTCCTTTTGGATTGAGCTTCCTATGGCAGGGGTGATGTCTGTCCTTCCTTCCAGTCTTCCCTGCTTCCTCCTTCCCTTCTTTCCTGTATTAATCTTTAGGGCCCAGTGCAGTGTTTTGCACATAATAGGTCTTCAGCAAAATTTTTAAGTTAAAATTTTCAGGTAACATATGGAGTGGTAGATTAGATCCACTTTTAGTGTGCATTGGAAGATTCTTTTTGATAACATGCTCCTCTGCTGTACTTAGGACATACTTACATTTTGGGACCTGTTAGTTACACTGCCCCACCTTGGGCCCAAAGAAGTGAAGTGGGGGATGGGGGGCTCCTCAACCCTTATTCTGGTGTCTCCCACACAATGTCTATGAGGCTTGGTGCAAACTGAGCAAGTAGCTCAGTGACTTGATTAGCTGTCTGATGCAGTGGCTAATTAGACACAGCTTCCAGAATAAGAGAGGTGCCATCATTAACTCCTCACCCATGCACAGGGTGTGGCAGTTCACATGTAAATAACAAGCTGGCTTAAGCAGAGTAGTGGCCCCAACCCTGAGAGAAAAAAACTGTGGCAGTGACACATGACAGGGCATGTGTTTAGAAAAGCCAAGGGCAAGGGCGTAAAGTTCCAATGCTGTGATATAATAAAAATATATATACTGTCCAAGCTCCTGGCCCAGAATTCCTAAAACTCTTATTTCCTGAGGGGCAGGGGTTCCAGGTACATCTTTGACTCAAACATTTGGTCTTTACCCCAGCTCCTGACACAGAGCTGCTCCTAAATCTCTTGCAGTTTCCTGGGTTATAGGAGCGTCTTTATTTCTGATGAGGCAACTCTTGGTGGACTGCTGGAAGTGGGCTGATCACCAGAAAGACCAAGCCACAGCTAGAAGCCTGGAACTTTCAGGCAATGCAGAGGAGTGAGATGGTGCATGCCTGTAATCCCAGCTACCTGGGAGACTAAGTGGGGAGAATTGCTTGAGGCCAGGAGTTTGATATCAGCCGAGGCAATAGAGTGAAAACTGTGAAGAAAGAAAGAGAGACAGAGAGAGAGCGAGTGGAAGAAGAAGAAAAATGGAGAGAGAGAAGAGAAGGAAGAGGAGGAGGAGAAGGAGAAAGAAGGAAGGAAGGAAGAGAGGGAGGGAGGGAGGGAGGGAGGAGAGAGGGAGGGAGGGAGGGAGGGAAGGAAAAAAGAAAGGAAGGAGAGAGAAAGAAGAAGAGGAAGAAAAGGAAGGGAAAGGAAGAAGAAGGAGAAGAAGGGGAAGGAGAAGGGAAGAAGAAGAACATAGTGAGAACTGTGAAGGAGAGGAAGAGGAAGAAGGAGGAGGAGGAGAAGGAAACTTTTGGCCCCATCTTCACCCCACATCCTCCAGAGGGGAAAGTGGCTGGAGAGAGAGCTAATAATCCATCATGCCTATGTAATGAAACTTCCATAAAAGTCTCTAAAAGGGAGTCTGGAGAGCTCCCAGGTGGCTGAACACATCTACACAAGGGAGGCTGGCATAGCTGAAAAGGACATGGACACTCACGCTCCTTCCCACATGCCTGCCCTATGTACTTTTTCATCTGCCTTTTGATATCCTCTGCCCGTAAAGGACACATTACATGTGTCCATACATGTAATGCTTCCCTGAGTTCTGTGAGCCATTCTAGCAAATGATCAAACCTGAGGCGGGGTTTTGAAAACCTCCAATTTGCAGCTGCTTGATTGGAAGCAAAAGTGAGAACCTAGACTTGTAATTGGCATCTTAAGTGAGGGAATTTTTGTGGGGCTGAACCCTTAAACTGTGGGGTCTGCACTAACTCCAGGCAGATCACGTCAGAATTAAACTGGATTGCAGGACACGCAGCTGGTGGCAGACAATTGGTTGGTGTGGAAAAAACCACACATGTGGCCACAGAAGTGTTCTGCATTGAATGTGAATATAGAGAAAAAAATAGTTTTTCCTCCACAAATACCCATTTCCATTTACCTTTTATAACCAGAAACTTCTGAAAGTTGCCCTAATGGAAGAAAGGAGCTATTGATGTTACAATAAGACAGCAACACCTCCTGAGCATATTTGCTTGGTAAATGAAGGGCAGGAATCTGTCACCTCACTATGCCTTCCTTTGATCATCCGTAAATAAGATAATTCTTTAAAAATGTTTTTCAAGTTATTTTTATGTAATGTCATTTGCACCTGAGGTATACAGAGAAACTGCACTGATTTCCGTTTATCAGAGAAGAAAATGGCTCAGAGAAATTTGTGGATCTGCCACAGGCATCAACGTCAGTCCCTGCTCCTTTGCCACTACCTAGTGATGAGCTCAAAATACCTAAATAATTTCCTTGTTTCTGCCTCTGTGCAAGAGATATGGTTGTAAGATGAAAAATGACCATTCATTTCCCTTTGAAATAGACAGTCTTCTCTGCTATAGGTGACACACGTGGATGCTGACTCGTTTTATTTCTGCTCAGCAAATGCAAAACCTTTCCTTTAAAAAAGCAACCAAGAAGAAAGCAGCAAGAAGCTTCTCACTCTGCAACTTGCTTCAGGAAGCAGGTGGGAGGAAAGGAGAAAAGGGAGCTGAAGATAAGATATAAAGGAAGAGACTCTGGGGACTCGAGGGAAACGCTGGCAGGGGTGAGGGATAAAAGACCACAAATTGGGTACAGTGTACATTGCCCGGGTGATGGGTGCACAAAATCTCAGAAATCACCACTAAAGAATTTATTAATGTAACCACACACCATCTGGTCCCCAAAAACCTATAGAAATAAAAATAAAATAAATAAATTTAAACAATCCAAAAAAAATTTCAAAGATATAAATGAGAAGGAGAAAGAGAAACCTGGAGTAATCATCACAGGATACAAACTCCTGTGATAAAAGAAGCAATAGAATTGTATGCACGGGTACACAGAAACTGACTCTGATGTGACCTGGAATCAAATCAAATGGAAGCCAGATAACCAGCACTCACTCCATTCAACCCAGCAATGGCAGAGAAGAGTCTAACAGAGGGCAGGCGGCTCTTGCCTAGATTTTCTTACCAAAATTTCTGGGTCTGGCTGTGAACCACCCTGTCTTTGAGAGGATGATCAGGATGACCCAACCAACCCTCCTAGTCTGGTTGCAGAGCTTCCATCTCACACAGGGGTTCATCCTGCTGCATTTCTCACCCCATGACTGACACCACCATCCATCTGCCCAATCACTCAACCAGAGCCTGGAGTTACGCTCTCCCTCACTACCACCCAGTCAGTCACAGACTCCTGTTGGGTGAGGATACCTCTTAAGCCTCATGCAAATCTTCCTTGTTTTCCTGACACTGCCCTAGTTCAAGCCTCCCTCATTTCTCACCTGGACTATTGCAACACCTTCTAACTGATCTCTTCCTCCAGTCTTTCTCCACCAAAACACAGAAAGGCTAGAAGGAATCAATCTAACCATGTCAATCTGCTGATTAAAATATTTTGGTGGCTTACCAAAGAGTGGGAAAGCCTTCATGACCTGACCCTGCCTTCCTTTTTAGCCTCATCTCTGCAAGCTGTCACCACACAGCATTGGAAGGCCACAGTATTCTACTTTGCACATCCTTTGATGTTCCATGCTTTTTTATTTAGAAAATTCCTACCTCGTTTCAAAACTCATCCTGAGCATCACTTCACTTAAAGGCTTTCACGCCTTCATCTTCACCTCAGGTCGCTCAGGCGCCTCTCCTTTGCCATTGAAAACCATGCTAGAACACATCACGCTGTTATAAACCTATCTTTTTAGTTACTTCTTGTACTTGGACTGTGAGCCCACTGAGGGCACAATGTGGCCTGGCACTTGGCGTGCTGTCTAGCACATCACAGACCCTCGATGAATACTACAGGTTGGATCAAATATAGGACCTGAGGAAGTTAAAAGAACAGCATCCTCCAGCATTTATGCAACTGGAGGCCAGGACTCTTCCTTCTGGCTTTGCACTACAGTAAAGATATTTACTTATTTCTTTTTAACAAACTTTTATGTTCAGGAGAAAGCATGTGCAAGTGTTACATAGGTAAAGTCGTGTCACAGCAGTTTGTTTTACAGATTATTTTGCCACCCAGGTACTAAGCCTAGTAGTATCCAATAGTTATTTTTTTCTGATCCTCTCCTTCTTCCCACCCTCCTTTCTCCCACCCTCCACCCTTAAGTGGGCCCCAGTGTGTGTTGTTCCCCCTTTTGTGTCCATGTGATCTCATGATTCAGCTCCTGCTTGTAAGTGAGAACATGCAGTATTTGGTCAGACAATATATTTATAAGCATCATTTCCTGCTAAAATACAGACAAACAATCCAAAATTGAAGCTACTTACTCTATAGCTACATGCCAATTATTATTCTAGTGAAACTCATATTCTAATATCAAGAACTCCTTAAGCCATACGTAAGATGGAATTACCCTTTCGGTGAGCAGGTGACGCAAATCCTCTTCAGCAGCACACTCCTCTGGAATCTTCAGTGAGACCAAGAATGTTTGATTTGATGATAATTCAAGTATTTCATCTTCATCTTCATCAACATAAGTCACTAAAGAGAGCAGGGGAGGTGGAAATGAAAAACAAATGTAAACATCTGCATAAAATAATAAATTTTTCATCCCATTGACTACCGTACTTATACATAACTATGAGCCTCAAGGGTAAAGGCTGAACACAGCAGGAAAGTGTAAGCAGAAATGCTTTCTCCACTCAGTGAAATTCAGTAAAATACAGGGGGTCTGCCTCCATCAGGAGAAAAAACTTGTTTTATGGCAAAAGAGCCTCAGATTCCACTGAATACAGACTGTGGAAAGGGCCAGAGGGGGTAGGAAGAATACGAACTTCCTTATTAAACTGAAACTGTAGCTTAGCTAGGTACACAGGTGTCAAGCCAGGTACTGGGGGATAGTGGGGGAAATGAACATGATTGATGGAGGACAGGAAGTGGGAGCAAACAACTGCATCAACTCACCTCCCAATTTTGTGCTGGCAAAGACCGCCATGAAAAAGTAGTATCATTAACCCAAACAACAGAGGTGGGACTAGAAAAGGAGCGTGCAAGCCCATGTCTTGAAGTCTCCCCAGGAAGACAGAAGACAGGCATGAAGTCATTGCTCTAGACTATGTCTCACTAGACAGGTATGTTGACAGGCTCTGCTTGCAGAAGGGAAGTAAAATTTGCTGAGAGCCCCAGGTGTGCTGGAATTAACTTCCTGGGACAATTAGTTACGTGTTGCTGCTTGTGTTCTAATGACTGCTATCTAACTGATTTTTAAGTAGTTGGAACTAAAGGAAAATCACGCAAAGTGAGGAGCTAGGCACCAGAAGCTGGCACTAGTGTGCTAATTATGCTCTCCTGGCTCTATGTCAGCCTCACCAGCTGGCCTCACACAGAAGACCATCTCTCTGGCCCTGAGAGAGCATGGGTGGGAAGAACCAGGTGCTCATATTGCCATGGACTTTAAGTCCATAGTGGAATAAATTTAGTGCCTGTGATGGAAGGGCAGGTAGAAAGGAGGAAGATTCCTGGTATTCCTATTATTCATTCTGTGAGGACATCTGGAAATGTGAGGCATTAGGGGCAAGGAATGTGCAGAAACCAGTTAATATCGTAGGCCTGAGATTGGTAGCCAAGAAAGGCTTCCTCAAAATTCGCCCTGGCTGGCATCCTAGAACCTGGATTTTAGGAGGGTTCCCACCCTTTCCTGATGAGAGGGGCTCTCCATGCCTCAACTATTTGTACAATGTGGCTAACATCTCCTTTCCTTCTGGGAGTCTGGATTTTTGGTGCATGCTAGGCAGAAGCTACATGTATGATAAACCCCCAGTGAAAACCCTGGGCACTGAATCTCTAATAAGCTTTCCTAGTAGATGAGATCTCATATGTGCTGTCACAGCCTATTGCTAGAGGAATTAAACAAGTGTGAAACTCCACTGAGAGAGAATTCTTGAGAGCTTGCTCCTGGTTTTCTCTGGATTTTGCTGGATAAATCATTTTATCTAATGTATCTTTTTGCTGTAATAGATCATGGTCATCAGTAGGACTGCATGCTGAGTCCTGTGTATCCTCCTAATAAATTGGTGAATCTAGAAGTAACCTTGGGGACCCCCAAACATAGAGAATAATCCCTGTGTCCTTACTTGTTATAAGTCATGACATTATGTTGTATGATTAAAAAAAAAAGTTATGCCTTTATAGCAAAAAATCTTGCAAAGTACAGGAAATCATAACAAAGCTAAGAAACACATATTAATAATACTGAAATCAAGAAGGTTTTTCCTCCTATACTTGATTATATTTGAGGTCTTAACAAACAGGTAATTTATATCCTGCTTTTTGTTTTTTGCTGCTATTATTGCTTACTTATCCTGATTCTTTTGTCATATACATCAAAGGCCATTCCCATGTGCTTAAAATTCCTTGCAAAGATTATTTTAATTGATTCATAATGTTCATAATAGGCTCACCTATTTTCTTAAAGATGACATTTATCATTTTCAGCTTTCTACTTCTGTTAATAATATTGCAATGGATATCTTTGAGCTCTATACCTACAATGTAGATTTCCATAATAGATTTCAATGCATCAGAAAACACTAGGGATGCCAAGAGGATAGATAAAAGATTCAAGTAACTGCTAAACTCAAGGATACTGAGAAGAGATACCAAGTGTGAAAACAGGCTTCCATAATAGCTCTAATGAAATGTGCTTAATGTGTGTCATTTCATGGATCTGTACCAAGATCTAGCTAAATAAGTTGTGTGTGTCAAAATAATAACAACAGTAACAATGACGGGCTTATCCAGTCAGTAGAGTTTTTATGTCACTAATCAGATAATCTGGGCTGTACTTTTTCATGTAGAAAAACTTATTTTTAAAAAAATCACAAAAACATACGTTACACATTGAAGGAACAAAAAAACAGCTCTTTGGCTAAAATATAAGAAAATTAAGCTTGACAGAGAGGCCTTAAATGCCAGATGCCTTCAAGGGGTAATGGAGTGTTGCCAAATATCTCCCACGAAGAAATTGGTGGTGTTTAACGGAGGTTAATCGGGTGGTCACGGACGGGATAAAATAGAGCTGGGAGAGAGGAGGCCGAGAGGCCAACAGGCACAAGTTTGGAACAGACTGATTTGACTGACAGCAGTGGGAACAAAAAGAAAAAAAAATGAGAAAGGCCAGGAGAGTGGAAACAGAGCTGGCTTTAAAGGTAACCAGACTTAGTTTAACTCCTGCTGGCTATTTGTTAGCCATGTGACCTCTGAAGCTGCTTCCCCAGCAGAAATTTCAATACCTACAATGTAGGTGACAGCAAAGATGAAAAACAACATGCGTAAACTATCCCGCATGGTGCCTTGTAGTAAGTGGGAAAGTTACTATCAAGACACTACCAAGGAATGACTGGTAAGATTTGGCCATTACCTAGATATGGGAAAGAAGAAATAAAAAAGGGTTCCAAGATATCAAGCCCAGGAAGAGGAAGAATAATAGCTCCTGTATTAAGTATGACGCACAAACACTCTGCTATGCACCTTATGTATATATTTTCCTCACATCAACCAAATGAGGTAAGTACCATTGTTTTCATTTTTAAATGAAGGCATTGAGGCTTAGAAAAAATGCATGATTTGTTCAGGTCAATGAACTAGTGTGTATTAGGGTCAAAGTTTATTTATAAACTCAGATTCCAAAACCATTTACATTTTATAAGTGTGAAAACAGGCCCAGAGGGTTGACAAGTTTGCCTAAAGTTACACAAATAGATAGTAGCAGGACTAAAATAAACTTGGTCTCATATAAAGGGCGAGTGAATAGGGGAAAAGATGAGCAAGTTGGAATAAAGGATATGCTATGATCTGAATGTTCGTGCCTCCCTGAAAAATGCATATATTGGAATCTAAACACCAATGTGATTGTGTATTAGCGCATTCTCACACTGCTATAAAGAATATTCAGATGAATTGGAAGCTATCATTGAAGAAGATGATGGTGAGGGTGGATGGGTAGATACATAACACAACAGGTAAGAGGAGAATAGAATGACATATATTTAGTTTAAATTAAACTTTTCCACAAACTTTTATAATATCCTTGATTTTAAAAAGAGGCTACATAAGGTATAGTTTTGTCCCCGTAGACTTAGATGAAAAAAGCAGGAGGACAAATTTATAAAAAGAAGCCGTTAGAGGGAGGCCGAGACCGGTGGATCACGAGAGATTGAGACCATTCTGGTCAACATGGTGAAACCCCGTCTCTACTAAAAATACAAAAAATTAGCTGTGCATGGTGGCACGTGCCTGTAATCCCAGCTACTCAGGAGGCTGAGGCAGGAGAATTGCCTGAACCCAGGAGGCGGAGGTTGCGGTGAGCCAAGATCGCGCCATTGCACTCCAGCCTGGGTAACAAGAGCAAAACTGCGTCTCGGAAAAAGAAAAGCGTTTAGAGTATGCCGCATTTCTTTTCTCTTTTTTGAGATAGAGTCTCACTCTGTCACCAGGCTGGAGTGCAGTGATGTGATTTTGGCTCACTGCAGCCTCCGCCTCCCGGGTTCAAGTGATTCTCTTGCCTCAGCCTTCCGAGTAGCTGGGACTACAGGCGCACTCCAGTACGCCCAGCTAAGTTTTGTGTTTTTAGTAGAGACCTGGGTTTCACCATGTTGGCCAGGATGGTCTCGATCTCTTAATCTCGTGATCTGCCCTTCTTGCCTTCCCAAAGTGCTGGGATTATAGGTGCGAGCCACCGCCCCCAACCAGATTATGCCAAACTCCTATAACACTTGCTACTTCCATCGCAGTTTGGAAATCATACTATTTTCTTTCTAAATAAAGAAAGGGGAAAAAGAAAGTACATCACAAATGTGGAATGTGCTACTACTTGGCTTTACAGTCTCTTGCTTGCATGTCATTGTCATTCCATTGCTGGATTATGAGCTCCTCTATGACAGTAACTATACTGTATTCATATTAATTTTACCCAGAGAACTGATATCTATTAAATATTTAATAATAATTTGTTAAATGATAATTAAAAGAAATTTTCAGTACTGTAAGCTCCATGAAGTAGAGATTCGCTGTTGAATTCTCAGTATCTATCACAGTGCATGACGTAGAAGTTGTTTGGTCAATATTTGTTAAATGAGTTGAATACAAGGCGTTTGTAAGTGTATGCTTCCATAAGGTATTTGGAACCCTGAATATACTTTTTAAATTCCAAGTCCTGAAATACTGTTTTGCCACTGTATTTATGTAACTGTGTAAATGCATATTATCATGTGCTGCTGAAGCTAACTACCATTTATGACTTAGTTTTGATGAAGAAAATGTGCTCTGAGTTTAAGTCCGTGATACTAAAAACAAGTTTTTCTCCCTTTGAGTCCTAGAGATTAGGAGGTATATCCTTAGTAGTAGTAATAGAACGGGGTTTCTCAAGCTTGACACTGCTTTTTGGAATGGATAATTATTTCCTGTGCATTGCAGAGTGCTTAGCAGTGTCTCTGGCCCCTATCCACTAGATACCAGCAGCATAGCCCAGTTTTAATAGCCAAAAATGCCTCCAGATGTTGCTAAATGCTGGATGAGGAAACGATTGCTGCCGTTAGTTGAAACTCACTGCAGTAGACAGAGGGCTAAGTATCTGCCCAGGTAAAAGTTCCTTCTTAGGTCAGTTTCTCCTCTACTCCAAATAAAGGATGCTGCCATCTCTTTCCTTATGGAGATAACAGGCAAAGATTCAGGACTTTGGCTCCTTGATCTGAAATTTATTGGCTTAGTAGTGAGTTGAGTGTTATATCAAAGCCTAGAGGAAATAACAGATCAAAAAACCTTTAAAAATAATTTCAAAAATTACTCTTCTTTTCCCCCTACTGAGTAGTGCTGTTAGCCTCCCCCCCCCCCCCCCCGCCCCAGTCTTTTCAAAGTCTTTTAACTATTCTGCTTTGGTTTTCCATGCCTGGAAGACGTCGGCAACACATGAATAGTAAATTCTCTGTTGACTGACTGGAACCATTGATGTGCATTGTTTCTGACGTCAAGTTAATGACTTATGAGGCCAGGTACTAGTTCCTTATTCACCCATTTCCCTTGCTTTATCTTTGCTATTCCTGGGCTTTTCTCCTATTAGATCATGTATTAGTCATGGTTGTTCAGAGAAACAGAACCCATAGGATGTGTACAGAGTAGTCCCTTTTTACCCTTGGCTTTGCTTTCTGTGGTTTTAGTTACTTGTAATCAACCATGGTCCAAAAATAGTAAATGCAAAATTCCAGAAATAAATAATTCATCAGTTTTAATTTGTGCCCTTACTGTTGAGAGTATCATGATAAAATCTCCTGCCATCCTCCTCTGTTCCGCCCAAGACATGAATCATCCCATTGTGTGGTATATTCATGCCGTACATGCTTCCTAGCCATTAGTCACTTAATAGCCAACTCAGTTATCAGGTCGACAATCATGTACAGCATAGGTAAGGTTTAATATCTGTGGTTTCAGACATCCTCTGGGGGTTTTGGAATGTATCCCCCACAGATAAGTGAGGACTATTGCATAGATATAAGTACAGATATAGGTAGATAGATTTTTTTAAAGGAATTGGCTCATGTGATTATGTGGGCTTGCATGTCTGAATTCTGTAGGGCATACTTGCACACCGGAGATTCAGGGAGTGTTGATATTGCAGCTTTAGTCCCAAGGCATTCTGGAGGCTAAATTTGTTCTTCTGGAGGACCTCAGTCTTTTTCTTATAAGGCCTTCGACTAATTGGATGATAGCCCCCTATGTTGTGGAGGGTAATCTGCTTTATCCAGTCTACTATTTAAATGTTCATCACATCTAAAAAATACCTTCACAGCAACATCTAGACTGGTGTGCCACAACCCAAACATCTGGGTGCCACAACCTGGCCAAGTTAACATAAAATTAATCATCATCACCCTTGAGAATATCACCGTCATTAGAGTCGTTCGAACTTGCTTTTTCTTTGTCAACTGTATCCTGCTTTTAGAAGTGTTTTAATGGCATTCTGCTACATTATTATATTTTGACAAGTTAAAGAGGTTGATTTTCTTTATTTTTATGCCCAGGAGTCAATCATTTTGTAGTGTCAATTCAATATGTTGAAATTTGGGTTTTACTGTTATGAAATAATTATACCTATTATATAGTAATTTCTAGAAATAGTATGAAGTAAAAGCTTTGTGCTAGACCTATGGATTTTGACCTCTTTTATTTGTGAAAGTGAGCTATTTATGCTTTTGTTTAGGCACGTTGAAGAGACATCTCAAAATTTTAGAAGATTAACGAAGGAGCTAAGCATATTCTGTACTTGGGTTTTCCTTTGGTGACGTTAGATATTACCATCTTACTGTCTTTCTTATCCTTGCTAAACCATTTTGTTAACATTACCAGGTACTTTGCAGTAGAAATGTTATCTAGCTGACTGGTGCTGCTGCCACCTGCTTAATACTTTCTTTGAGACAAGTAAGTTTGGAGGTATTTGCCCAGTGGAGTGCAAGAGAATTGAACCAAAAGTTAGCTTGTGTGAATTTTAATCACAGTTCCATCATTTAACTGGGTATAACTCTCAAGCAAGTCATCTCTCCAGTGACTTCATTCCTTCAAAGGAAGACATTATTACTGTAACATCGTCGTAGATAGTGCTTGTAATGATTACATAAGATGAGGAAACACTTAGCAGAAAGCCCCGTATAAATGTGATGTAATATTACGACCTTTGGGTATCCTACATTTCTGAGGCGTATGAGAAACGGATTGAGTATTCCTAATCCAAAAGTCCAGTGAAATGTTCCCAAGTCCCAAACATTTTGAGCAATGGTATGATGCTCAAATAAAATGCTCTAATGAGCATTTTGAATTTTTATATTAGGGGTACTTGACTGGTACATATTTTTGCAAATATTCCAAAATCTAAAAAAAATCAACAATAATTCTGGTCCCAAGCATTTTAGATAAGGGATAATCAACCTATAATAAGATAACCAATAGCTTTTTGAGAAAATTTTGATGCAAGCTTAATTAAAATGTACATATGCATCCTGTAGTTTCTTAAACTGTTCTGTTTTTTTTTTTTTTTTTTGAGACAGAGTTTTGCTCTTCTGCCCAGGTTGGAGTACAATGGTATGATCTCGCTAACTGCAACCTCCACCTCCCGGGTTCAAGCGATTCTCCTGCCTGAGCCTCCCAAGTGACTGAGGCTGCAGGTGCATGCCACCATGCCTGGCTAACTTTCGTATTTTTAGTAGAGACAGAGTTTCACCATGTTGTCTAGGCTTGTCTCGAACTCTTGACCTAAGATGATCCGCCCACCTTGGCCTCCCAAAGTGTTGGGATTACAG